TGTTGAAAATGTGATCGATGGACAAGTTGTTCCCGCAGTAAGGGCAATTTGGTGGCTGCCTGCCGATGAGAATGTGTTGATGTGTTAACTGAGTATGACCTATCCTTAGGCGTGATGGTTGAAGATGGTTGATTGTAGGCGACTGATGCTGGTGGGGTAAATGACTTTGTTCCGAGCAGGATTGAGATTTGTGTATCGGTGTTCAACGCGTCTCCACTCCATAAGACTTTTATTGCGACTGTGTTGTTGAAGCATTTTCTTAACATCATTTTGGTCCTGGGGCTCATATTGAAAGGTTGGCGCTGATTCGAAATATTTCGCTGCATTATCGGCTTGCTCATTACCGGGAACTCCGACGTGGCCAGGTACCCAGAGCAAAGCAACTTTTTGCTTATGTTTAATGCATAGATCTCGGATTTTTTCAATAACGTTTGAGCTGTTACGTATGTTTGTTACTGCGTTGATGAATTGCGTACTCTAATGCTTTGTAGATAGCAAAAGTTGCGGCCGTAAATACAGACGAGTGAGGCGTAAGAATACCCCTGTTATAATAGTTCCATTGGATGAGGTGGCTGCAAAGGTAGTATTTGTTGCTTTGGAGCCGTCTGTGTAATTTGTTTGTAAGTGTCAACTAGTTCCAGAAATCGTTGTTGAAAAGTTGTGATACTTGTGTTTGATTTTTTTAAGGTGTGAAGTGATGTATCTATCATGGATTGACTAATAAGCCAATCAGGTTGCGTATTGGTTTTATTAAAATTCGGTGGTATATTGATTTTCGAAAGTTGACAATATCTGACGCATCGACGAAGAGTCGACTTTAGCCGGAAATCTCTTTTGTGTCTGGAGGCAGCTATTAAAGTTAGGAGAATGTAAAACTTTTGGAATGAGTTGAATCGTGGTATCGTAGACTCTTTGTCGCAATGCCGGAAACCCAGCCTCTCCTAGGATGCATTTTATAGGAGATGTAGGGAAAGCGGTAATACTGCGACGAATTGAGGCGTGATAAATGGGTTCAAGTTGCTTGATGTTTGTGTTGGCGCACCAGCCAAAGATAGATAAGCCATAGTCGATCTTGGAGAGTATTATGGCTTTTGTAATATTGATGAGAGTATTGGAGTGTATGAATGATTTTTTGCTTGATATATACTTAATAATATTGAGTCTCTTAGAAAGATTTTTTCTGAGATTAATACATTGATGCTTAAAAGTAAACTTATTATCAAACCATATACCTAAAATTAAAAAAATAAATTGGATACCGACTGAATAATAGTATTGTCAAAGACTAGTTGTGGAAAATTTCATTTAACTTTTTTGCAAATATGAAGAAGTTTGCATTTGGGTGTAGAGATGGATGCTCCTGATTTAAGGCCCCATTTTTTAAATTCCGATAGTACTTTATGGAAGGTCTCATTAACCGCTTCTGGATCTTTTAAGTTAGTATAAACAATGGCATCATCGGTGAGTTTGTCGAAAACAATAATAAAAGGTACTACTGATAAGGGCGAGCTTTGAGGTATACCGTTTTTGAGTTGGTGTGTATCTGAAAAGACGTTATTGATAAATTGTCGGTGAGCCATTAAAGCTTTTACTATTTGGAAAGCTTTTGGACCAATTTTCCAGGACGCGAATTGGCTTAGAACTGCATGAACACCCACACGGTCGAAAGCTTTCTCGAAGTCGGTAGCTAAAATTGAGGCATGGTTTTTTGTAGAAAGAGAGTCAGAAATAAAGTGCTGGAGTTGAATAAGTGAGTCCAATGTGCTGTGCTTGTTTTTAAAGGCGGTTTGGTTATGTTTGATAAGATTGTTTTTAGTAACAAACCATATCAACCTTTAAGCCAAAGTTTTTTCAAACGTTTTGGTGAGACAAGACAGTAAAGAAATGGGACGGAATGACGAGGGTAAATTGATGGGCTTACTTGGTTTGGCTATTGGAATCACTGTGGCTGTGCGCCAAACATGCGGATACGTGCTCTTGGAGAAAATAGAGTTATAGAGAGAAAGTAGCCTATGCTTGGCTAGTAACGGTAGATTAGAAAGCATAGGATAAGATATCCGATCGATACCAGGAGTTTTGCCTTTTGCATGCTTGAGTGCGGCTTCTAATTCGCAAAAAGTTATTTTGTCATCTACATATCGTGCAGATCGTGAAAGATTCGTCGGGTTATATGGTGTTGAGAGCCAGTGCTGCTTTTCGGAGATGTACTCCGCGGAAAAACTTTTGTCATCTGAAAGGTTAAGCCAAAAATTGGCGAATGTGGCTGCAATGTCTTCGGGGCTCGTCAGTAACGTATTGTTAGATTGAATGGCAGTTATAGGTGTTGGAGGGACTCCAGTTAGCCGTTTAATATCCGACCATATTTTTTTGGGAGTGGAAGATGGTGAAATTTTGGAGGTAAAGATTTCGAGGTTTTTCCTTTTGGCTGTTTTAGCCGCTTTTTTGAAAATGGAGTTGGCCCTTTTATAGGCCATAAGATTTTCGTTTGATATCTCACGTCGGAAAATTTTCAACCTCTCATTTTTGTGAGTGTGAAGTTGTAGAAGATCTTTGTGCCACCAAATAGGTGAGTAATTGGAAAACATTGGCTTGCTTTGGGGAATCGACTTATTTGCCGCCGAACGTATTATTTTCGTAAGAACTGCTGTTTCTTGATGAATATTATTTGCTAGCGAATTGGGTAGATTGTTTCTAATTTCTGTTTGGAACAGCTCCCAGTTAGCCAGATCTGTTTTGAACTTAGGAATCTGGTTATATTTTATTGAGTATAGGTTGACTTGAATAGTGATTAAAATAGGGAAGTGGTCACTACCGTGAAGGTCGGAGCTGACTTCCCAGTTCATTCTGGGAGAGATTTGTGGAGACGAAAGAGTTATGTCAACATTTGTTAAAGATGAGTGTGTTGAAATGTGGGTTGGGGAATCATTATTTAATATGGTTAGATTATGGTTTGAGACAAAGTTTTCAATTAAAAGTCCTCTTCCGTTGGAGTTGCGCGAGCCCCAAAGTCGGTTCCAGGCAATAAAATCGCCGGTCCACAACAAAAGCTCAGGTAGTTGCAGGAATAAATTAATAAGTTCAGCATCATTAAAATCTTGTGAGGGAGGGATATATGTAGTTGCAATACAGAGTGTAAAATTAAGTTTTACTTTTAAAGCTATTGTAGACAGGGTAGAGTTTATGTGTATCAATTCGTGTGGAATTACCCGTTTTATGATTATTCCAACACCTTGTTTGTTTGTTTGTATATTTTGCAAATTAGCAAAATACCCAAGGTATTGTTTGGGATAAACAAAATTGTTGTTGGATGATACAACTATATGAGTCTCTTGAATGCAGATAACATCTGGATTTTTCTCTTTAATGAGCAATTCAAGCTCATGGTAATTATTAATATAGCCGTTCATGTTCCATTGGACAACTTTAAACGTCATTAAAAAATATAGTGGGAAGCAGATGTAAATATATATATGTATAGAGGTGTATTTAATTTTAATTTATAGATGAGTTTGGTTTTGTGTAAGTCACATGTCATCGTCTGACGTGACATGCATTTGAGAAGTGGAGATTACTCGTGAGAGCGAAGGGAGAGGGTCGTAAAGAGTTTGGGGTTCAGCAGGGAGGGAGGGGGATGTGCTGGTGAGAGTATGTTGATCTGTGGTGAAATCATTGTTGGTTTGCTTGAGATATGAAGAATTATATAAAATATTAAGAGATGAGGAATAAGACGAGAAGTCATACTCCTGATTATTTGTTTCTACAAATGAGGTGGGTTCTGTTGCTGAAGAGTGAGGTGTGTTGGTAAGGTCCATAGAAGGGGAACAATTGGAAGAGTTTTTTTCGTTATGAGTAAGATTTACAAATGAGGTGGGTTCTGTTTCTGTTGAGTGGGGAGAGTTGGTAAAGTCCATAGGAGGGGGATAATTGGAGGAGGTGTTTTCTTTATGATCAAGATTTACAATTTGGTTATTGTCTTTGTTATTTTTTGTTTCATCTGAATTTTTTACTTCGTTGTTTTTGTTGGTTGTTGGTAGAGAATCATTTTTGTTTGCATTTTGGTTGGATACTATGGCGTAAGAGCTGCTAGGAGAGCTTTGAATGGTTTGTTGTTCTTTGTGCATTTTGATAGCTTCGCGCATAGAACATTTATTTATTGTTTTTATTTTGAGGATTTCTTTTGCTTGGAGGAACTTACTGCATTCTCTGCAGGAGGATGGGTGTTGTTGGGAACAGTTGGCGCAAAGAATGCGTTCGCATTCTTGTGGGGTATGGGGAGGAAGGGAGCAATTTACACAAAGTGGAGAACGGTTACAATTTTTTGCAGAAGCTGACATGATTTGCAGCGCATGGAGAGGGGTATGTATTGTCGAACTAAAACTGTACACCAGGCAATATCAATTTTACTGGGTAGGTTATAAAGATTAAAAGTTAGCAACAACACTCCCGTAGGACGTTCTTTTCTTTCTATTTTTTTTTTGGAATTTATAGGCTGCTACGACACCTTGAGAGCTCAGTTCTTTAATAATTTCCTCTTCAGGAACATTATTAAGGAACGGCGCATAAATTGTGCCTTTCACGTGGTTTAGGGATTGATGGAATGTGACAGACACATCACATATGTCTCCAAGAGTCTTAACTCTGAGGAATTTGTATGCGATTTCACTGCTTTTTACTAGAAGAAGTAATTTTCCATCACGTAGGAAGGTTATTGAGTGCACTTGGCTGCTGATCTGCTGGATGGCACGGTGTATAGCGAAACAGGAGTAGGATGAAAGGGGTTTTAATGGGTCGGTTGTACTAATTATTATGAATTTTGGGTCAACGATTTTGGTTTCAGGGAGCAAAGGGAATGCAGATAAGAGTGCACTTATTTCGAGCTCACTTTTCTTTTTTCTTTTTATTTGTCCGGTATCGAGTATTTCGAAACGATTAACTTCGCGAATTCGTGGCCTACGGCCAATTTTGCACGTTTACTTTAACAACAACTATGCGTATGTGGCACTTGCTCTTTACTCGAATCTTTGAGAGCATATTTAGTATGACAACAGCGCTACCAAAATTACAAAAAAATTGCTGAAGAGTTCAAATATTTTAAGGGAAAAGTAAACTTACTTGGTAAGTTTACTTTATTTCTACCGATCAGAAGATATTGTTTTAAATTTATTCAATATTCTTCCATCTTATAAGAAATTATATATTTACATTTTCTGTTAAGGAATATTTTCCTTATTTCGAGAACTTAGGGCTGAATATCAGATCACTTCGAAGTGGAATGAAATCAATCATTGGATAATTCCAGGTAATTCTTTACTATTACAAAAAAAACATCCAAACACAAATTTTTTTCTCATAAAATATATTTATTTCATAAAGATTATTTTTTATAAGTACATAGATAAATCGTTGACTAAATAAATAAATTTCTTTCTAGGTCACACATCTGTTAGCATAATTATGGCAATGCTTCGTACAGCAATCATCGGCCAAAACGCAGGGATCGCCAAATTTCCCACATTCTGTGCTGCGCGACGAAAGCTGAAAAATAGTTGAAAATATCATTAAGCAATCGGACGATTCAATAAAGCGTTAAAATTAAACAAAACTTTCCGAACGAAAACGAAAAATAAACATTGAAATGCTGCAGCAATAATCAAAAATAACAACATATGACAGAAAGCGCGCAAAATGTAATAAAAAAGGCAAGATAAACTCAGGACAGCTCAACTAAAGTAATTTTTAGCTATAATTAAATAAAATCCACACAAATTGACAATCAACTTTACCTCATCCGCTGGCAATAACTGCATCAACTGCGCCGCAGCAGCCGAAACTTCATCGCCAACCGCTGCCGGCTGGCTTGGCGACTCCACCGCTTGTGGCATTGTCACCAATGCCCTCGGCAAACTTGTTGCATGCTGCAAGTTGCACGAACGTAATTTTATTGGCACATTGTGGTTTGATGTTGTTTTTGTAGCATGTACACGCCCGTTGTTGCAATTTAATAACAACATTTATTAAATGTCAGTGCAAGCGCCGTGGAGGTGGAGTGGCAGAAAACACAAGAGAGTATATTAATATAATTTATGCTCAGTAATTTGAAAATTTTTGTCGTAAATTTGCGATATTGAAGCAACTACTAGTATACATAAACACACACTCACCCACACATACGCATACATACACACAGGAAACTACGAGCAGCGACTAGATAAGTGGAGCGACTATTGGGTGTTGATATAAGTTTTAAAGGATTTTCAGCTAAGCACTGGGGAAGTATAAAATAACAACAATAATTATGTAACTCTCATTTCGCCAAAGTACTCTTACTAGCTTACAGCATTTGTTGTCAGCATGTTGTTTGCTTCGAATATTTTAAATTTTCACCTTTGAAATTTGATTATTTTTATCACTTTGCTGGAACTCAATGAATAATTTGGCAAGCACTTCACTGTTCTAGTAGTTTGACTTCTAGGCAGGAGGAAAAATCCTCAGTAGAGTGGACTGCATGGCTACCATTGGTAGATTTCTCGCCTATTTCAACATAAATTATAATTTACAACTTTGGTGAAGCCAACATTGATATACAAATTTATATATGGTTCTATGATAGGGAATCAATTACTATGTTATTACGATATTTTAAAAACTGTTCACAGATTTTATCAGTTTCTATTTTTAGGCTTATAACATTTCTGATGAGCTTATAATTTATAAATCCTACTACATTCCTTATTCGTAGGAAGATACTCAGAGAAAGACTTCGAAATGGTTCAATGTGTAATAATCGTGACTAAAGTTAACTTTAACTTTCTAGTTCAGTCACAAAGCCAGTTTACATTCACACTTCCAAAATTATGTAAAAGTAATGTTGACTATCTGGACGATTCCGCCGCATATCCCGTGATTTAAATTCTTATTTTAGCATATCTGATTTTTCAGTCACACTTTTTAACAAGTAAAGACTATATAAAGCTGTTGATATTTATTTCTCTAATTAATTAGTTTTAGATCTTAAAAAACTCTCTCACATTTCGTGACTTGAAAAATTGTGTGTATTATTCGGCTTACTGCCTTCTTGTCGGATCCGTAGAGCATGTAGAGCATTGTTCGTATATTACACGATTACGTTAGTTAAAAAATATAAGATTTTTATTCTCTTGCAACATGTTGCTACAGTGTATAATAGTTTTGTTCACCTAACGGTTGTTTATATCACCTAAAACGAATAAGGATAGATGGAGCGATACCTTTAAAAATCGGGCATGACCCCACCCCTTAATAAGTTTAATGTATATATCTTCCAAACCAATAAAGATATATCACCAAAATTTTCTCAGTACAAATTTTTTTAAGACTTTCTACGATAGTGTGAAAACTAAATGTGTCAGTGTCATTAGATTTTACATCCAGGATTTCACAAGAGAACTTTATAGAAGCCGGTGTCAAAATTGGACGATGAGCATGTCACAGCCCACTTTTAAATTTTAACCAATTTTATTTCAAAATTCCTTGTAAATATATTCTCAAGTATAACTGAGCAATATCCAAATTAAAGCAATCAGTCGGTCGATTTCTCTGCCCCCAATATATCCTATATATGATGTCCACCTTTCCTCCTGACTTTAAACTATTTAGGTGAGTCAAAATATGTAATATTTTAATGAAATTAAGTGGATAAGTTGATTGGTCCATTTGAATCCACTCAAAAATATGTTTGTTAAAGATTGAAAAAGAGATTTTCTACTGCTTTTTCCTTACTCCCGGAATAAATTGTCAAAGTTCAGCCTTTCTGAAAGGCCTTAGACTGAAGATCCGTTTATTTATTAAATTGTGGGCGAACTCTTTCTCGAATTTTTACATTATATGAAAAGTTAAACAGATGTTAGACTCAAAGAATTGCACTATTATGTTCTATTTTAAAGTTTTTTTCGGAACGGACTTAAAACTACTACCCGAATGGTAGCCATAAACTAACCAAACTGGACTAGAGTAGCCAAGCTGAAATATAATAACAGAGTTTATACTATTAATTTATCTATGTGACATTTGATTTAGTATAATTTTAATGTCATTATTTTCAACTTCATGATATGACTTATGAAATATCTGGAATTATAGTCACTTCACAGGAGATTCTATAAAGAAATACTTTTAGATATTTGTAAAAAGAGTTTAAAATAAATTAGGATACTTTTTTATGAATTATTATATTTCTTTATTAAAACGTGGAAATCTTTTATGTGGAGATCAATTATCATATGCCAGCCAAATAAAAGATTTTACTTCGTTACTTCAATAATTATTTATGAATCATAAGATTATACTCCGATAATTTAGTCGTTTTCGATTAGCTTTATATTTTCGAACTCTACTCTCTATGTTTGAGACTTGCTCTCGGAACGACAAGATAACCTAGCTACATGTCCCACAATAATTCTGGATAATAGTTTAACAACTTTTTTATTTATTTATGGTGACGTATTGGATTTATGCCGGCCGTGCGTTCGATTCGCCACTCAGCAAGTTTGAGCGAAACTAAAACTACTAATAGTACTATACGAATATATGAGTATGAAATCACGTATATTTCTTTAAGACCCTACCATAATACACAACGATACCAACAACAATTGCAACAACGTTATTTTCATTGTGATCATTATCTTGGCCAACACTTCACTTCAAGTTAATTTACTCGTATAAACTTTCTTTGTAATTACAACTTGTTTTAAGTCAATCACAAGTATGTGTACACTCTTGTCACTTTCAGTTTCTGAACTGTGTCGATAATGGCCTATTTATCCTAATCTTCGAGCTCAAAAGTCTCCCATTACACCTTTGAGCTCGATATAGCTTAATATAACACTATTTCCCAAATTTCTCAAAGACTAATCAATTTTGGTGATTTCTTTCGTTAACGATTTCTCAAGTAAATCAACCGATTTCGACCCGGTTTGCGGCAAACGATGTGTTTCTTCAAGGTTTAGAACTGATTAGTTTTTTGTATCGATCGGTCAAGTCGTTTGGAAGAAACTCGAAATTTATTTTTGAGATTTCTTGAAATCTACCGATTAGGTCCAAATTTACACGAAATGCAAGTGCAATGAAACCCTTTGGAATGCCGTTTAGTTTATTCAAATCGATTGAGTTGTTTAAAAGTTATAAGAGGTTTACATACATCCACACACACACACATACATCCACACATACATACAGACATACGGACATCATCGTAGAAATGTTCGGGGAAGCTTCCTTGACCCTCAGAACGTCGAATCTGTTGAGAACTCGATTTTTGCAAAATGGGGTGAAACCAATAACTTCCCGATTTGTAGAAAATTTTCAATTTTCTTAGCGGGAAGTTAAAAAAGTATAATTCTGTAGACGATGTCAACATACTATATCACCATATACCACATACCCATATTATTATCGTCGATATAAGAAGGCGACGCACAATTTTATCGCTATGACACATTTTCCAGATTTTTTATTTTCAACAAACTTGCCAAATTTCTTACTTGTTCACCTACTTACTCGTATCTTTTTTGGTAACACTTGAAATTTGTTTTTTTTTTTACTTTCCTATATCATAAAAAGTACTTAACTACGTTGTCAATAAATCTGACTTGCTTCAAGAATCATACTGAAGTGCCTAACTTTAAATTGAAGTTTTTACGGATGATGGGATCAGAATGAAGTTCTGTGGGAAGTCGGCAAAGCGTGTGTTTGACTTCTATTAATTTTTAAGCCAAGTCTTAAAAGCCACAGACGGCACACTCTATATGTCAATTTTTTTGGAGGGTTTTAGTTGTTATTCTAAAAGCAACTAGTTTGTTAGGATTTACAACACAACTATTATTTTAGTGATTTTTGTGGTTATTAACAGCTCCGTAAAAAAGACTGTGACCTACAATATTTCGACCAAGCAGAGCTCTAACAATTTATTAGAAACGTTTATTCAATTTTTTAAAGGAGGGTGTCGCTGTAACTTTTCAAAAATTGTAAGACAAACCGATAGCCGAACAGAAACAGCAAAGTATTTCGTAGTTGCTGAAAAATATATTTTAAATAATTTGATCTGAGATCGGAGAACCCAGGTAAGCCAAAACTCTAGTATTGCGCTTCCACAATTTTACACTGGTCACTTCAAATTTATATATACAAAGTAATATGTATTTCGCGTTGTACATATAAGTGCGATCAAATTACGCTATGTGACGTTAGAAAGATAAAATGTCTCACTAAGAAATTTCTGAACCAGTTTTTGTGATTGCTAAGCTCAATATTCTTCGAGCCTATCACACATCATTTTGGTGTCGTTGATTCGTTCCGTTTTGGCGATGATTTTGATACAAAGAATACGTCACGCTCTGCCAGGCCAATTGATGAAAGTATCGATAAATATCATCGATTCTGAAAATCGTGTAAACAGTCTTTCAATTTGCTCGGAGCTGAACATTGCACAAAAGAAGTTTGGAACCGTTTAAATAAGGTTGGATACAAAAAGATGCTCAATGTCAGAGGCTACACGAATTAATGTAAAAAACAAAACCATGAACCAAATTTCTGTTCGCCAATCGCTACAGAAAAGCAACAAAATCAATCCATTTCTGAAGCGGATGGTTACTGGTGATAAAAATTGAGTATCTTAGAACAATACCTTGTAAACACAGTAGTGGTTGAATGGTGGTGAGTCGGCGCAAAAGGAGGACCAACTAGGATTGACGGTCCGGAAAGTTTTACACTATTTGGTGGTATTGGCAGAAAATAATAATCTACAATGAGTTGCAAAATCAGTCAAAAATTTGGAGCTGTACTAGCAACAATTGAACCGTCTACATAGAAAACCATCGTCCAGAAGCGGGCAGCTTTGACCAATATAGAGAAACTGAAAACGTAGATGACAAGCGAAGAAGTGGGAGGAAATACGAGACACCTAAAAGCGATGGCAAAGCTGTTGTTCTTCGTTTTGAAAAGTAAACCATAGCTAAGTCTAAGAGAAGTTAAACAAAAAAGTGGGTTAGATCTTATCTCTAAATACAATACGGGACATACACATATTTGAGTTAAATTTCTATAATTAGTTTGCTTAGGTTTCTATTTTGACTTTTGAAATTTTTGTACCTCAAATAGATTAAGGTTACATTCACATATACTATTAAGATAAAATAAACATTTATTTCTGTTCTTAAAAACTAAGCTTAAAACTGAATTTGCGTGTAGATTTTCATTTTGCACACAATTAACTTTATATACCTCAGTCAGTTTTAAGTATTACAAACAACCGTTAAAAACGTATAAAAATAATTAGTTAATTGGATCGTCGTGTTTCGGCCAAGCAATATTTACGATAATGTAAATGAGAAAAACCAAAATTTATTATTTCTGCTGTTGTTATATAATTGCTCAACAGCAATAATAGTTAATTGATATTTTGCTAATTCATACTAAAAACATTTACGCCATAAAATAGAGTAAGTTAAACAAGTATTCGAACATCATTCCCAATGCTCTTGACACTAGAATAACATTTGTTAGTAATTGTTGTTGTAAATGCTCTTTAAAGTTCAATTAATGTGAGTTTCTACTTACATCTTCATTGTATTCGGCGCAGTTATCACAAATCACCAAGCACAAAACAACAAAGAAAAGAAACTTCACTGAATCGCTCATATTAAACATGTTTACTGTTGTAAAGCCGGCATTCAACTGATGCAGCAAGCAAGCAGCTCAGCTTAAGTTATCGTGGCGCTTAGCTGTAACTGCAACCAGGGTTGCCGCATGACTTTCAACTGACTGTGGAGTAAACTTGAAAGATTTGGCCGGAGAAGCTAAATACGAAGAAAATATGTCTACCACTTATTGATTCGAGAGCTGGTCAAGTTCAGAATTTTTTCTAAGAGTTATTGAAAAGGAATCGAAGTTTTTTTAACATTTGCTTGAGTTTATACAAAATTGTTTATATGTTCATTTTTAAAAAAATGTCGGATATAAGGCTAATTTTCAGGATCGCCTTTGTCCATAAAGCCTCGACGGCCCACAATGATTCTACAAACTAGTGCTGGCTAAACCAAAATAAAAAACGGGATCACATAATACTTTCTCGTAAAGTTCGACCGATTTTGGCTTTACATCAATGTTGCATATGAAAAAAAAGGTTTCTTTTTAACCAAAAAAAACAATAAATTGTTCATAAATAAAAATGTTGCAATAATAGCAAAACCATCGCAAGAGTAAGTAGGCTATGCTACCACGCAGTTACAGTAAAAATATCAAGTAGTTACGTTTTAAATGAAAATCTTACTCAACA